TACGGTCAGAAAGAAGGGGAAAACATAAATAAAATAACTGATAATCAAAATAACAATAATTAAATTAAAATTAAAATTCAATAAAATATAAAGATATAAATAAAAATATAATAAGTTCCTGATAAATAGTTAAATAAAATTAAATGTGTTAGTTAAATGCAGTCGTGGCTTTCTGTCTGTCTACAGGACATGATTGCCTTGCCACCCACCTGCGCCGCATAAGCATTTCAACCGATCCTATTTGCCCACTTTGTAATTCTGGAGAAGAAATGGACAGAGACCACCTCTGCTTCGATGTAGGGATCGTCGTGGTCTTGCAGAAGAGTCGAGATGCTGGGAGGCAAGAGCGCTCCTTAGACAATGACTTTGGTCTTTTTGTTGTAAGTTCTATTGTTTGTTCCTCTGTTTGTAAGATTTTAGTTCTTTGTAATTTTTTGACTAGATATTGGAAATAAAAAAAAGTTTAATAAAAGAAATAAAATATCGGACCTTGTCTTATTTGGGGCTCCGGCTGAACTTAAAATTTCACTTAAAAATTAAGAAAAGCTCGTTCACTCTTTTAAAGAATGAGAGAAACAAAAATCATTCTTTTTTCATCACACCAATGACATGCGAATTTTTTTCCAAATGGAAAACGGAAAAATGGAAAACGATTAGAGCGTTACCAATGAGAATAGAGAGAATGATAGAAACAATGAGAGTATGGAAAGAAATTTGAATGAAGAAGGTGTAGCTTCGGAAATAAAAAGAGAAGAATCCAACGATTTCTGACTGCGATGCCCTGCCGATATAATTCTAGCCTTCAAGCGGAATGAGACTGATTAAAGACATTTCCCACGAATTAACAACATGAGAACAATTCGATAACAACATGAGAACAATTCGATAACAACATGAGAACAACGGTAATGTCTGCACAAGTGACAATGCTTCTCCTCCGTATTTCGTTACATAGTTCAAGTCTGCAGGTGCTGCAGTGAGAGGTCACTAGCGTTCGACGTACATGGCTAAGGTAATTTTGTTTAGTAATTTCGGAACAAAACATTTTCACCGTTGTCATAAATCCATTGCACTGCCTGGAAGTAAGTCTTTGACATTTGACTGACGCTAATTGCAAACAAGAGTGCCTGTTTGAACTAATTAAAAACAAGAGTACCCATCAGCATTAAAATCCCAACAACTGGTATACAAAATAAATCAGGAAATAGTACAGCATAGATATTGAATACATATGAGCAACGTCAGTAGATAAAATAAGCTATTACTCTTCAGAGAAAAATTGTTTGTATTTTTAAAATACCGAATTTGGCACATACTTTGAACTATATTCCTTGCTACAGTTAACTTTGCTACCTTTTCCAAGTTAGAAATGTCTTTATTAGAGTGTTTCTAAACTTTTTGACTTTGCGTTATGTTACGCTACACAACTATATTTCTAAACATCGCATTTTACTAAATGGAGTCACTACGCGAAACGTAAGCTCTTTGCCTTCCACGCGCCCTCACACATAGCAAGTTTTCAGGGTACTGAGTTTTGTCAAAAGTACATAATGTTTAATTTATCTTTCATATTTAATTAAACTCTAACTGTTTAAAAATCTAGTCAGTATACTTCTTAAATCTTTGTTTTATTTTTTTAATTATATATCTAATTAATGTAAATTAAAATACATTTAATTTACAATGTATGCAATAGATCATTATAAATGTTTCCAACATTATTTATATTTGTAATTTATACAATATGTTTCTAATACCTAATATTATACACGGAGGCTCAGAATTCTCTTCATTTTTTAAACTTGTCTTTACAGAGTCCCATATGCGCAATGCATTATTTAAAAGATGAAAATTATCGATTTTATATAGTATGCACACACTTCAGAAATAGTTGGCTATTGTAGAAAGTTCATGAATGGCAAAAAATTCTGAAAATAATAAATGTTTTATATTTAAAGAAATACTCCGCAGATTGGAGAGTTCAATAGGAGTAAAAATACATTATGATTCTTTCTGCTATTTTTCTATTTTTCTAAACACTAAAATAGAGTATGTAGAAAAAACTCTTATAACAGCAGCCTCTGACTTGTGTGTTTGAGAATATAAATACGCATCGGTATTGAGACCACCGCTCTATAACAACTTGTTTCAGAAAAGCTCACAATTATCTGAAATACTATAATCATTTAGAGTTTTAATATATTGTCAAAATTTTCCTGCAAGTTACTGCATTTGGAGCAGGGATTGCACGTTATGTTGGTAGTCCTACCTGCTTCCTTTGCTGAAGCTGTGCAGTAATGAACGCTTGGGCATCTCGTCTGCTCAGTGCTCTCTAAGAACAGAAACCCAGTATAGGTTTTCCACATACTGGGGAGGCTAAAGACCTACTAAACAGATTGCAGACTTGATCTTGTTTTTACTTTTATATATAACTTTTATCCAATACATTTTTCTTTTTGTGTAATTCATTTTTGCACTTCACACTTCTTTGTGTAAATTATTGTATTGTGCATTCTATTGTATTATTATTGTATTTTTTGCAGTTTGGGGATCTCTGTATGGCATAAGGATATTTGTCTCCGTATTGCCAGCTGCATTAAAAGTAATAAAAAACCCTCATCTTTCAAGTTCATACTTACACCTGAGGCTACCATATGTAAACCGTTTCAAATCTTGAAAGTTATTTTTATATTATTACCACTGGCCAACAATACTGATGAACAGTGGCGCTCTTTATTTTAATTTTATTGTAAAAGTCTGCATAAATTTACACCACTACTTCTACAATCTTGTATTTTAAATTGACGGCTAGTGACCTTTGTCCTTGAAAAATCGGTCTTCACTACTAAATTGATCATTGATGGAACAATTCAGATTAATTTCATTTTAAAATCTATCTAAAGCCAGTAACTGTCAGTCTTAAGTTCTGTGGTCTGGTGACAATTATTAGTTTGGTGACCAACTGCTTCCATGGGCACCAGTGGCCTTCGATCAAATTTTATTTTAAATTGCCTAAAGTTAGTGCGCCATTTCACAGCAGTGAGCGTAAATCTGTGGATCACTGGCGGCCAATGACCTTTGACGGTCACGTTTCGCTTAGTTTTATTTTAATTATTATCTTATTTATGTAATTTTAAGTACATTGGTTTACTATATTATGTCATACAGATAACTGCTTTTCACACTCGCAGCATTATTGTAATCCATAAATAATGTTTCTAGAGCCCTATGTTGCGTACATAGAACAGAAACATTTCTTCCCCCGTGCTTCTAAACCCCCTTTAAAAACTTAAAAGTGAAATCATTTTAAACACAGTACAGTTTTTTTTTTTTTACTGTACCAATAAAGTAATTTCTTTCTTATTTGTATTATTAACGTTTGTCCGTTCCTGTAAGAAATTTCCAAAGGCCATAACCTTGAATGAGTTGTTCTTTTGCAGAATAAACCGTGCTAGTAAAGTTTTCCTGGCCAGAACGAGAAAAATAGTGGTAATTTACAGAAGGAGAGACGATTTGCAAACAATAGGTAGCAAATAACGTACATGATAAAATTACTGTGATAAAAATACCCCAGAGCTGAAAGAGGTTTACGCGTGAAATCAACTCGTTCCCCGTTACCCCTTCTTCATTCTCCATGACTGAAATAACTGTATCATGTGACATAGCAATGAGCAGTCCATGTTGCATCACCATATTTATGTAAGTGAGTGTGTTTGATAGAAAACGCCAAACAGCTTTTCGCATTTCGTAGGATTTACAGTCTTTCGTTTTTTTTTTAGGTTATTTTGGTCTGCAGTTCAGTTATCGCATTAACTGAGTCTTTTCCTTTTTGAAGCATTTTGTTACATACTTTTATATGCATTTAATTTATAACAGCTCAAATGAAAATTCTTATAAATATTTGCATTATCATAGTCCATTACTTTAGAATAGGCATTTCAGAGTCATTTTTCCTTCTGATTTGCTTCGTAGCCACGGTAAAGATAGATGCGGCAGACCGCTAATTGGTTATTTCCCACTTCATTTCCGTTCAGTGTGTTTCCATTTATGAAAAGCGCACGCATCAAGGCTGACTCGAACTAGAGTCTCATATTAAGCGGAGAAAATATGTGCTGTGCAGTGATTTTCAGAATTGGGCACTGTTACAATTGGGAAAAGATCGAAAAGGCATTGACGTGTCCATTTTAAATTAATATAGTAAGAAAGTTTGCAATGCCATGTATTACGACGCAGAATCTTCTTTCTTTAAAAAGAAGATTGAAGACGGTGTATTGTTTTAACAGTCTTGTTCTGGCAAAATGAAATCTGTAGCTAGGCTTATGCTTTACAAACTGACGAAAGAAAAAAAATGGAAAAATACAGAAGCAGTGCTTGACAAATATTGCCGCTAAGCTCAATATATCTATCATTTATCTTTGACGTGGTTTGCTCAGCAGCGGATTTTAAGTGTTGCCGTTTGGCAAAACATAAGTTACTTAATTTGTCTTTAAAACGTAACCACTCTGTTTTTCAGTAATAAACTAAGCGATTTAAAAGCAATAAATGCATTTTTATCAGCATAAAAAGTGATGTTATTTGTCAAACTTCTTTGTTCAGATTTGATAACTCAGTTATTTCTTAACAAGTTTGAAATTTCAAAGTAATGAATACACAATAATTTAAACCTCTATTTTACTTTTTTAATAATGCATTGATTCATTTAAATTAAAGTATGATTAATTTATTATTTATCCAATTGATCACTTTTATAAAGATTTGCTGCCTCATTGTCATTACTTTAAAGATGTTTCTAATACCATAAATTATCTAACGTACCAAATCTTTTACTTTTAAAATTTTTACGATATGTTTAATTTTTTTTTTTAAATTTTTAGAAATGTTTTAATGTAGCGGAATCTCTTACTATCGTTTTACAAGGAGAGGAAATGAGAAACAAAATCTGTGAATCCTTGAAAACGATTAATCTAAGAAATTGTTTTCACTGGAAATAAAATAATATATTGTAAATAAATAATATTTATTATTTCTAGTTTGAATAAACTATAATGACAAGCTATTTAAAAAAAAAAGGTTATATATTGTCTATTGTTCTTAGGTCAAATTTTGCCTCAAATAAAAAATGTGACTTTTGAAGACTGACCATGTTTTCATGTTCCCCGTTGCCTCTATTCTGTGCACTCAAAAACGCTTTTTTCCCCTAAAGCTTATTAAGTCTCACTGAAATTCGGCACTATCTTTAGTCAATTTTTATCTTCTTCCCCCATGTTACTTCAATACCCAACGAAAAATTACCTTTAAAACTCCCGAAAGTCAACATGAATAAACTAATTAACATTTAATGGAAATAAATTTGTTGTAACTTTAAACGAAATAACGTTTGGAAATGACACTGATAACGCAGACGCTGAAGATCATGTGCTCAAGCAATAGCTTGGAGAAGTACCTCAGGCCCATACACGCAGGTGTTTAAAGGCATTCTTGTGCAAGAGTTGTCCGCAAATGCTGCACTGCGAAGGTGGTTGGTTCACAAACGATTAAAGCAGCAGAATGAAAATTTGAGAAACGATAAATGGAAGAATAATTTTAATGTTATTTAATAATATGCAGCTTCATTCGGGGCCAAAAGTGGAGGGCAATATACGCGGGAAATGATTGTTGCGAGTCAAGTTCTACAATATTTCGAAATTTTTAAAACCCTTCCCCGAAGTATTAGATTGAAATCATAAGTCTTCATACTGCAATTTTCTTTTTTTTTTAATAGTTCTACTGTATCTTTTTAATAAAGTATGTATTTATAACATACTTAATTTACTAAATGTAAATTCATCGACTTGTGTAGCCACACATAACTGGCCATTATATAAAAGTGCTTAAGGAAGTTGTCTAATATTAATGTTCAATTGATATAGAGTTCTGATCAGGAAGTCCGGGCACCATGCCATTCTACTGCAATCAGTGCTTCTGAAAATTTTTCTTTTCCGTTAACTCCACTCTAATTACAACCACTGAAAGGTTAAGAAAGCGGAAAGTTCTGGCAGGTTTGCAGGATACACTTTTTTTTTATCAAGATCTGTAAATCTTCTGAACTGTTTAACTTAATCAATGTTTCACTTAATGATGTAAGCTCCTCAAAGTGCGTTCACCTCGTCGAGTTAAACCTGGCCGGGTATTTTTTGGCCAAGAAACAAAATGTCTTTTTAAACCAGGATGAGAAATTCATACGTGTGAATTAGAAGTTGCAATCTGAAAACTCCAATTATAGTCTTGCACCTGAAAGAAAAATTCTCAATTAAAACGTTTGAAAATGAAAAAGAATATAAAAAATATATAAATATGAATAACCCTCTAAATATTTGTTTCAATAAAATATAATATTTATTGCTGCATTACTGCTGCAAACTTGTGCTATTGAATAAAATTAAAACTCAAAAAGAATTTTGATTGCTTAAACTTCTTGCGTTTCTGCATTTCTTTTCTGAGCTTAAAATCACATAAATAAGAAATTATCAAAATGTTATAAAGTATATTATTTTACATATAGACGATTGCAATCCTACAGGTGACGGAGGACGGGAGCACCTGGCGTTTACCAGAGGTAAGCAGGTGGATGATCTTCGTCCTCCACTATCCAGCGCTTATTGAAGAATTTAAGAATTTAGGCAAGAATGGCCATGTATCTTATCTACAGCCAGGGCTAGGTGGCTGTACAATGGCTGTAGATTTAAGAGACATAGACGATTGCAATATACATTAGTACAAAATTTTATCATTAATATTCAGTTTTATTTTAAACACTTCCAGTACTTTGCCCTATTTTATAACGTTCTGGTAGCAATTGCATCAACAGGCGGGTTTCCCTGTGACAACTAAAAAGTTAATTTAGAAGTCAAAAATCAATGTTGATTTTTGTTGTTTGACTTCTAAATTAATATTTTTTTCGGCATGTTATTGTATCTTAACTATAAAGTTGTTATCAGACCTCTTAGGTAAAAATGCAACTCCCCCTAAAAACATGCTTTCTTAGAACCAGTTGGAAGCATACTCTCTGTAGAGATTTTTTAAAGTTTATAACAGTTATTTTAATTTTTCAACATGCTTTATTGTCTGTTCTTATTTCCCACCTACTATTCGCTATCAGAATATGTTTTCAGTATCGCGTTACATGTAAATGAGGTAGAAAGAGTATTTAAAGGAAGGTTTCTCTTACTTCAGCAAAAAAGCTTAGGCTTCCTTAGTGGCGCATGTTTGCCGCCAGGCTGCTTCGTTGTTTAAAGCTAACTACGCTCGGCCGTATCGTACGTGGTAGCTGATATTAGAGCCAGTTAATTTAATTAAGGGCCGACCACGTCAGACAGTTTTGTACAGCTTCGGCTCAGTTTCGTTTAGCATTAGATTAGTTTCTTATTTTCTTATCTTGAGTTGAAGCCCGAGTAGGCGTTTTTGTAAGCCCGAGAAAGGGCCCATCTGTATTCTTAGTTTGAGATGATAAAGGGTGAGTTTAATCCTTCACTGGACTTTTCATTCACAGACTTGAACTCAGCGATAAGTCGTAATCATCAACAAAGTAGTTAGAAACATTACAAGTCCAACATGTATGAGGACAAACTCAGGATATTAGATCGACATTTTCTCAGCTTTTTATCTCAGTTTCTCTTGCCAGTACTCAGGCCTGATTTCTTGAAATAAATCAGCCAGTCTATTCGGAAAATTTAAAACATTGAAAAAAAAATGAAAAATGAAAAAACAAACGATTCGGTGAAACATCTGTTAATACTTAAAATAAAGGTTCAAATGTTCATAAACTATGTGGAATGAGGAATACATTTCATCTTGTAATGCTGAAGTCACCAAAAAGTTCCTTCCTTCTATTTACCATAGACTGAATTCCGAGTCTTTCCTCTCGTTAAATTTTAAAGTGTCTCAGTTTTTATCTGGTCACGGTAAATTTGCAAGTTATCTGTTTCGTTTTAATCTACGATCAAACAATTTATGTGAATGTTCAAAAAGAGTTCCTCAGGATGTGGAACATTTGATTTTCTCGTGCCCTATATTTGATGGCCCTAGATTATGCTTACAGAACGATTTGAAAATGTTCGGAGTGACTTGGCCAGTGAACTTATCTGTTTTCGTGAAGTCCAGACTGCCGTTCTCTGCTTTTGTTCGCTTTATTTATGCATGTAATTTTTAATGTTTATTTATACATGTAACCTTTAATGTTCTAGTTAACTTAATTCTGTAAGCCCCGTGTTGTACATATGTGGTGTACGGGGAATCTGTATGTTCTCAAAGGAAAAAAAAAAAAAAAAAAAAAAAAATTCATAAAAATTATCAGTTTGGTAAGGTGTTGCAATTTTTGTAAATATTTTTATTTTTATGTACATATTTTAGTTTCATTGTTTTTTTAAAATTGTTATTGTTTTTTAACATTGTTTAAATCACACATTTTCTTAATGCGTTTTTCTATGCTTATTTTATCATTTATTGCGCATTTAATTTGGTCTGTGGCTACTTGTCACGCTTGCATGTGCAATTAATGTACGATTTTGCAGAACTTTTAATTTTGAGCCAGTTGACGTTGAAATTATAAGAAACTAGATTATATGGGTAGAAGCATAACGTGAAGTTTTTCTCGATTAAAAATATTCCATGGGTGAATTAAATAATAGCACTGGAGCGACAGTAATCAGATAAGTTAGCGAAGATCCTATAACATCAAAGAAGCAATTAAACCCTGTGCAAATAAAATCTGAAAAAAAGGCTCAAATGGAAGACCTTGATTCGAAGCTATGAAGAGTTAATGGAATAAACGAACAACGACTCCAGTTGGCAAGAAATGACAGCGAAGACCAAATCTTCAATCTGACAGCGAAAAGGTACTGGTGTTCTGCTGGATTTATTTTCATCTGCGAGATGTGCTGTAATGCAGACAGGACGCCGAAGATGGAAAGCGTTTTAGATGGTAACTCTTATCAATAAGAGCTTAAGTCCTTAGTATTCTGTCAGGATTTCACACTAGCTGTACTGGAAAACAGTTTGGTATATAGGTTTCACAGTAGCTGTACAGGAAAACCATTTTGCTAAGGGACATTTCGTAAAAAGAGTTTTACTCAGGAATAGAGTCAGTGTAGGCGTGGAAAATGTACAAACTCTTAGACGTTTGTATGCCAACTTAAAAGCCCTCTACTACGAACTCGAGGTAGATTACACTACCACTATGTAAAAGTATCATTTTGAGGGGAATGCTTTGGAGTTTCGCTTATTTAAGATAACTGAAGGTAATATGAATAGTCATGGAAACCGGAACGTGGCCGGAAACTTATGCCATTCCATACCAATAACTTTTAACCGTCGCAAGATGGATTACTCTTCTAGTACTTGATTGATTCTTATTTGAGAGTACCTGTTCGTATTCGCTTATACTAAGAATTTAATCTCATTTCTGTTGTATTCAAAGGACTGTATAAGATTTTCTACATGAAAAGGACTCAGACGACTGCTTGACATCTAAGGTTGGACGACAAGTAGAAAGATTTGATAGAATAATATTAAATTTACTTTTCGAATCTAAGGTCTCTTACTTTTGGAATGTAAGGTCAGCAAGAATAAGACCAAAAAATGCCTTAATTTCTGTTAGTGTACAGGCATGGAACTCGTGAAAGCACAGAAGTTTTGTTATCATAAATGAAGAATGTTATTAAAATGTATAGCTTAAATAGTTTTTTTAATGACTCAGTTTGTTATGCTGATGAACAACGATTTTGAAGTATTTAAGATAAATGAGACATCTTAGGTCTCGTAGATTGACATAAATTTCCTTCTAGGTTTCTGATTTTTATTTATAACTGATCAACTATTATTTGATAAGTGAAACTCAAATGTCAATCAGAAATTTAATAAAAGAAAAATGAAGACTAGTTGGAGGAGAGATGATGTATTACGTTCTCGTGCTGAAGTTTTATGAATAAAAGAAGAAGGAAGCGAAGGTAGCTAATTTTCAGGTGTGCTCTTAATAACATTTTCAGTTTAATCAAAACAAAGGTTAAGTGAAGAAAGTGATTGGTCCATGGCCATTATGCATCAGAGAGTAAGGAAACCAATACCCTTGTCCCAAATCGGGAGGGCCATGACCACATCAAGGCCAGCTTCTCCATTTATAACTTTAAGTAATATTAATAAGAATGACCTAACTAACCTTAACCGATTTTGTTTGAAGTGTTGGCTGACGTGTCAACCGAGGCAAAGCTATTCATAAAGATTTTAAGATGTTGTCTGTGATGAGCACTACGATGTATAATTATTTCAATGGAGTTTGTGAATTTGTATTTTTTTATGAGGCGTTCAGAAATATTAAAACGTTTTTGGAAAATTCCCTTTGTAAATCTTAAAAGGAGTGTTATAAATTTTTGCGGATAAGTTTTAATATATTGTTGCGAAATTGTCAAGATTCACAGAAAGAAAATGAGGAATATACTTCAGGAAATGCCTGCATTACTTACTTTTTTATACAGACATACATGTGTACACACAAATATGTGTATTTTTATTAATTACATTACGCCCAGAAACTATTGAAACCTATATAAAGAAAATATAGTCAGAAATTTAATATTTAGTATAAAGAAGCTACAGACAGAAATTTAATATTACGCCCAAAGCAGCGTTTTTTTTTTTTTTTTTTTTTTTTTTTTTTGTTTTGTTTTGTTACCTTTATTTATTAAATGTCATGTTCTTCGAACTTGAACCATAAAAATTCAATTCAACAGCAATATCACAAAATAATTTTAAAAGAGCATATCTTTAGAATTTCCGATACACAGTCTCGCGCGCTGGAGATAAAAATCTTTCTCTCGTACAGTGTTGCCATTGCTCGTTTTGAAATCGTCGAGTTTATTAATAAAAAATTCGTTAAAGTTTTACAAAATATGAAATAGATAATACAACAAATTTCAAATTTGGGCTACCAGATGCTCATATTCGAGTGAAGCACTACGGTATTCAGAATTGGATGTCTCTAGGTACCGTTGTTTTTTCATAGTAAGAGAAATATACTTACCTTCATGTATATTCTTCATTATTTAATTTATTTAAATGTAATGCAAGGCTCTAATATTTGGTGGCAACAGTTTGAAGAGTGAAACGCCGTTTGTAGTGAACCAACGCAAAATGCCAAAACGAAATTAATAGCCCTTCTGGGTCTGGGCAAATGACTCCAAATTAAAATTTGGATTAATAAAACAGAAAAGAATGCTCAGAGTAATATATAGACTGTA